TTTAAAAGTTGACAGGGTCTCCAGGGGATGTTTTGCTCGGCAGTGGGGATTAAGTATCTGCAATTACAAAGCATCAAGTACATAATTAGCTTTTGCATTAATATTGGTTCCTTATGTACTTACAAAAAATGTCTACACTTTAATAACTGGGGAGGGGATCAAACTGCAGGGAAGTCGTGAAGGCTTTTGTTTTCAAGGCATTCTGTCAAAATCAGGCTGCTGAAATGTATAAATAGTGAGTGGCATTAGGAGAACAGGGCTGAATAATTCATACACCGTGAGGATCAAACGCGGTTCTGACATGTGGTGACTTTGCTTTTGAAGTTTGGTTCAGCATCCAGGTTAGAGCCTATATTCAGCAGCTGCCAGAAACATTATCTAGTCAAAGATTCAAAACTCAAACCAGTCTGGAGGGTCATGCTTTTGCATTTCTATTGATTCAAGAGGGCCGCATCAACACGTTCACTGTGGGGAAGGAAGTTATTTATTAATTTTTGGCAACCATTCTGTTTAACTCGCTGTCTGCTTTGTAGCTCATTCATCAGCAAGTTGTTTTCCAACACCTAACAAGACATGAGGTTAATTCTGTGGCTGCAATTCATGTGCACAGTCATATTTAGAACACTTGGCACTCTTCCTGCTAATGCTAATTCTGCTGCATCAAATCAAACTTTAAAAGAATGAAGGTAAACCAACCTCACTTGTTTTAATTGGTTCAACATGGAATAGCTGGTCATAAGAAGGTAGCAATTGACATGAAAAAGTCAATTCTATTGGGTTTAGTGACTACCTAAAGCTCTATTTCTTACCATGAACTCAGCTATACAGCTGCAAATATAATGTTTTAAGTGTGTTTTAAGTGCATTATACAAATGTGACATTAAATGACACTAAATGACGCTGATGAGCTAATGGCAAATTCCATATTTACTTTACAACTTTTTTTAAAAAACAGCGTTTTTTTATATCTGTGTAGATTCAGCCCATGTCTACTCCGAAATAAGACATATTGAATTCAGTGGAGCTCTCTCCCTGCATTTATATTGTGTCTCCAAACAGGAGTTCTCTGAGTGCAGAAAACTGGAAATTAAAATTAAAACACAATATGCAACTGAAAATATTATTAAATGTATACTCGAGGTTAAGACTTTCCAAGACTACAGTAAGATTGCAACTTACACTGACTTTGCTTACACTTTATGTGGATCACCAAGGAAGGAAGGAAGGAAGGAAGGAAGGAAGGAAGGAAGGAAGGAAGGAAGGGGGTGGGGGACAAGAGATCCTTGCTTATTGGACTCTGGAGGCTCTCATTAGATCTCCTGGGAGCCCCCAGAGCCCTTCTTTGCAGTAAGCAATGTGGATGGCCTAAAAGCTCTATCTGTAAAGGGAGAAAACCATTAACCCTTCCACCTCTCTCCATTTTGTAGTCTGACCCTGGTTTCCTTCAGCAACTTTCTTTGGGAGAAAGAGAGGGAACCTTTGCTTTAAACACATCCTCTAAAGAACATGCCTAGCATAATGTGTTGTTTACTTAAGTTGGTAGGAAAGTTCAGCTCTCCAAAGGGAAGAGACTGGAAGAGGAAAGGTAAGTTCCCAGGTGAGAGTTGGGTTGAGCTGTCCTTTCCTGTGCATGGCCAGAAATGAAGAGCTACCTTTGACAGAATATATTTGTGCCATCTTCACTGCTGATTTTTCTCCTTTTATGTTGTTGCTGTTGTGAGAATCTGTATTTTATTATTTATTTCTTATTATGATTGAATACATACAATTTGCTGCTGTTGTTGCATAGATAGTACACTGTGTAGTGACATTTGCATCGTATATTGTATGCCCTGTGTTCTTCTGCCACTGTATCTCAGTGGGATGTGAGCCTGTCCTAAGAAGTGTCATCCGAGGAGTCCAAGATGGCTTCAATAGAGTACCCTCTTCCCCATCACACACTCCCACTGAATGTCTGAAGAAGGCTGTTACAACCCTCAAATCTGAAATGTGTTATTTGTTTGTCACCTCACTGGGAAACTTTCAGGTTTCTTCAAATGTGCTGCGCCAACCTCATGCGCCTTCCCAAACCTTTAAAAAGTCTTTCCCTGCCATCTAGTGGCCATGCTGAAGAACCTGTCATTTTCAAAGGGAGTTTATAAAACCAGATAACTATAAGGCTGTGTATGACCTATTTATTGAGTCTGGAGAACAGCACCCAAGCTCGCACACATGGCTGCAGGACAGAATTTCAAAGGGCCAAGGACAGCCCCACCTCCTACCAGAAACGCTACTCTTCACGGTCCAAACCAACCAGCTACACGCAGATCCAGAACACAGGTTGCTATAATTAGTTGTAAGAAGCTCAAGCAAGGTGTTTTCTCCCCACCCCCCACCCCAAATCACCCATATACACACAGAAACATTTTCCATATGTGAGGCTTCCCTTCAGCTTGATCTGGAAGCTGATGCAGGATTCTGCAACACGATTGCTGGCAGGAGTTGAGACCCTGTCAGCATGTAAGAACACACCCTCTGTTCAGAGATCTGCACTGGTTTCCCATTTGCTACCAAGTCAAGTTCAAGTTGTTACTATTAGGATATACCGTATTTTTCGCTCTATAAGACGCACCTGACCACAAGATGCACCTAGTTTTTGAAGGAGGAAAACAAGAAAAAAATATCCTGAATCTCAGAAGCCAGAACAGCAAGATGGATCGCTGCGCAGTGAAAGCAGCAATCCCTCTTGCTGTTCTGGCTTCTGTGATAGCTGCGCAGCCTGCATTCGCTCCATAAGACACACAAACATTTCCCCTTACTTTTTAGGAGGGAAAAGGTGCATCTTATAGAGCAAAAAATACGGTAAATAAAGCCCTTAAAAACTTGGGACCAGTTTACCTGCAAAATTGCCTTACCCCAAGTACGCTCACTGGACTGCTTTGACCTGCATAACTGGCCCAGTTACAGGTAACAACACATAATAATTGTTCCACATTTGTAAGAAATTGATCTTTTGGTAGGCAGCACCCACACTCTGGAACCCTCTGCCTATTGCATACCTTCCAAGATTTATCCGATGAAAATAGGGGCGCCTATTCAACAACAACAACAAAAATTATTTTATTATTTATACCCCGCCTATCTGACTGGGTTGCCCCAGCCACTCTGGGTGGCTTTCAAATAATAATAATAATAATAATAATAATAATAATAATAATATAGTTTCAAACATTTAAAAACTTCCCTATGCAGGTCTGCCTTCAAATGTCTTCTAAAGTTTGTATACTTAACTCCTTGGCTCAGTGTCACATAACTTCACACCCTCGGATGAAAACAGGGATGCCCTACCATACCCTCCAACGTTTCTCTGATGTAAATAGGGCATCCTAAGGAAAAGAGGGACATTCCGGGTTCAAATCAGAAACTGTGACAGCCTCTGTAAATCCAGGAGTGTTCCTGGAAAATATGGTCACTTGGAGGGTCTGCTATTGGCATCAAGCAGGAGTCACTTCCAGCCCAGCTGCAGGTGCCAGGAATTGAACCTGGGACTTTCTGTATGCAAAGGAGATGCTCTATCACTGATCTGTATCCTGGGGACAATTTCTCTAACTTGGCTGCACTGCATTAATCAGAACCACCACTCCTCTGACTTCCCCCAGTTTTAACCAAATCACACCTCTCTGCCTTTTCCACAGTCTTCTAAAATGGTGGGTTGGAACTATACTATGGACTCAGCTACATTAGTCAAAATACAGCAATTTGAATGTGTTATAAACATGCAACACCAGGTGTCGCCAGAGAGCAAGAAATTTTTTAATGGGGTTTTCCATAGAATTTTTTTCCTTTTGTTAGAATATCTAATTTCTGACTTATTTATGGTTTTCCCTGTGTCTAGATCCACTCAAGGTTAGCTCTCCTTTGGGTAAGTAACTGTTTGTATTGATTTCAAGGGAAGGCAAGATGAGACAGTGAAGAAATTGGGATCAGTTTGCATTTCACTGCAAACCTAACAGACCTGCACTTCGCGAAACAATATCTGCACTGAAATGCAGCTAACATTCAAAATTCAAATTCTGCGAAACAGTTTTGCAGGCAAACAATGTACTCAAAAATCCATACACTAGGGGAGAGTTGTGCATACAAACGATTACATTAGCAAAACCTACATACAATAAATGCATTCTATTAGGGGGAATTCATTACAAAAATTGTGTGTATTGAGAGAAATGTACTCCAAAATGCTAGTTTTAATGAGGACTAATTTTAAAAAAAAAAATAGTGAAAATGCAGAAAACTCATTGGAAAAATGAGAAATTTAGAAAAACTGGAAACTAAAACCTATCCCAAGATGCTAGCCAGTTTGTCTGGGTTCAGCCCAGTAGCTAAAAGTGCAAGCTCCTCTCTTGTAACTACTCCTAATTCAAGCATTTGCTAATCCTGAATTTATAGCTGATCTTGCCACAACACTGTTTTATATGCACAAAGACCTGGTATTGCATTGGCTTTAAACACTGTTTCTTGTTCCTTGCTGTGGTGGACAAGATAGAGAGCTCCAGAGCTCTCAGAACTTCACTAAGCTACAATTCCCAGAATTCCTTGTGGGCCATTGTGGTAGCTAAAGTCTACCTGAGTCTGTAACATAGGTAAGTTATGAATCCATAATATAGATAATGCTTGAGAGTTTCCCTTTTTAGGGATGTCAAATTTCAAACTCACCAATATTTTCTGCTGTGGGCAGTTCCTACAATCATAGAACTGTATAGTTGGAAGGGACTTTGAGGGTCATCTGGTCCCACCCCCCTGCAATGCAGGAATCTCAACATGCAGTTCCACCATCCAATTTGAAACCATACCAGTCCCTGCTCCGCTTTGCAAATGTGTGAGCAGTTTCATTGCTACATCACTAGCAGAACTTCCCATAGGTCCAGTTCTAGAATTCTTTTCAAAGGTCCAATTCATTGTGATGTAACGGAATGAAAATGTGTAAGATCGAAAAGGTAAACCAAAGCAGCAATTGGAAGCATTGCAGCTCCAATGACGGGGTGGAAATAGCTTCACATTTAGATGCTTTTGGTCACCTCTACATTCCTTGGCCTCTTGCCGTTATCTTCAGACCAGAAAGAACCTAGGACACTTCGACAATGAACCAGATTGTGCCATCCCTTTTCACAATCCTTTCTGTGGAGTTATCATGCTGTCCTAGAAATGCATTTTCAGGTGAGCTGAAATTGGTCTTTCCCATAACACGGCAGCAGAACCCACTTAGGTCCTCTGAGCCAAAAGGAGTGGGGCCAAGCAGCTGTCCCCATGCAGGGCTATTCCAGGCAACCTGCTTATTAAGCATTCATCCTGATTTGCTTGAGCAGAGGTCAGATGGCATTGCTTCAAAGCAAGTGTTTTCCCACTCTCCCCAGTATGGTTTCCCATCACTTTCCTTAAGCAAAACATCTGATCTTTGGGGGAAGTGGGTTTGTTGCTCAACACCTCCAAGTCAACGATAATTGTGTGATCTGAATTTACCAGTATGTGAAAGAACCCATCCAAAAATAATAAGAGTCTGGAAGTGCCTTCATCATCTTTCTTTCTTTCTTTCTTTCTTTCTTTCTTTCTTTCTTTCTTTCTTTCTTTCTTTCTTTCTTTCTCACACACACAGCCTTCTCTACCCACCCATCAGAGCATGCTGGGATGGGAAAGTTCTTCCGCAAACAATAAGATCCCACCATGTGTCCTCACACCCACTGCCCAACTGCACTGGGAACAACTGAGGAGTAGACAGATATTAGCCCTATTTGCACTGTGCATTTAAAGCAGTATCATGCCACACGACTTTAAGCAGTTGTGGCTTCCAACAGTTTGTAAAGAAAAACTTTCCCCAGCTAATCTCCCTTAGGCAGGGTTAATGATGTTCTGTCCATCTGTGTAACATGGAATCTAGTACTCTGTGTGATGAAATAGCATGCTTCTTTCCATTTTGCAGATTACAGCCACATCTGAACTGTACATTTAAAGCAGTATCACAACACTTTAAACAGCCATGGCTTCACCCAAAGTATCCTGGGAACAGTAGTTTAAGGGTGCTGAGGTTGTTGGAGACCACAGAGCTAAAATTCCCAGAATTCGCTGGGAATAGGTATTGATTGTTAAACCATTCTGAAGATTGTAGCTCTGGAGGGGTAGGGCTCTCCTAGCAACTCTCAGCATCTTTAACAGCTTCCAGGATTCTTTGGTGTAAAGCCATGGGTATTTGAAGTTGGATGCTTTAAAAGTACAGCCATACCTCATGTTACGTTTGCTTCAGGTTGAGCATTTTCAAGTTGCGTCCCGCGGCAACCCAGAAGTACCGGAAAGGGTTACTTCCGGGTTTCACCGCTCGCGCATGCGCAGGCACGCAAAATGATGTCACGCGCATGCGCAGAAGCTGCAAATCACGATGCACGCACGCGCAGACGTGGGTTGCGTTCTGCTCATGTTACGAACGAACCTCCGGAACGGATCCCGTTTGCAACCAGAGGTACCACTATATGCAGATGCAGCCTTGGTGTGTTCATGTCTTCGTCAGCTGTTCCCAATGCCTATAAGCTGGGCAGCAAGGAGACAGCAGCGGGCGCACAAATCTATCATGTCTCTTCTCGGACATTTCTTTCCTCAGAAGGTTGATAGCATCCTCCTACCAAGAGATTTTCCTTGCAAGTGTTTCCCTCCTCACATTGGCCTTATAAGGTAAATGCAGAGCTGGGAACTTGTTCTTCTGTCCTAGCTTGCTTCTAAAAAAAATGATTATGCTCCATATCCTAGACCAGAACCTCTAGCCTTTGGCCAAATGTGGCTCTCCAAGTCTCTCTTCCTGGCCTTCAGGACTCTTCCCTGCCATCCCCCCTCTCCTGAGGCTATGCCCCACACCAGCCCCACTCCACGTGCTCCTCAGTAAGTGCTGTTCAACAGTGGAGCTGTCTCCCTTGAGAGCTGGTGGGCTCTCCTCCCTTGGAGGTTTTTAAGCAGAGGTTGGGGGACATCTGTCCTGAATGCTTGAGATTCCTTCATTGCAGGAGGTTCGACTACATGACCCTTGGGTCCCTTCCAACTCTACCATTCTAAGTATTTTTGCCTGGCCAAAAATTGAATCATGACTATGCTTACCTGGATGGATGATGGAGAGGGTGGTTTTTTATGGGGGAGGAGGGATGCCATGTGGCCCCTTAAAGGTTACCAAAGAGGCATTGTGGCCACTATGCAGGAAAAGGTTCCTGACCCCTGTTCTACAGCTTGCTTTCCAGTGAAGTCATCCACTCCCCCTCTAAATGTTTTAGCACCTTTCAAGGCATACGAAGAGCTCGGGAAGAGTCCTCCAGCTCCAGAGGCCAATGCTGGGACAGCTCAGCCAACTTCGGAATCACTTCTGGAGTTTATGGGTGAGATGATTTGTGTGTGTGTGTGTGTGTGTGTGTGTGTGTCCACAATAGACTGGCTAAATAAACGTCCATGTACTACTATGCATTCCGAAAATGTTTAAAACTTCCAGGCAGGCAGGGGGTTAAGACCAATATGTGGTTAATGGCTTTGGTTAGGAGTAGCAGAACTCTCTGTCACTAATCATACATTCCTCGGGGCAGGGGCAGTCACTGGGATAGCACATGGGTAGGACCACTGGAGGGCAGCATCTGTACTGGTTGCCTATCTGCTACCTGGCCACATTCAAGGTGTTGCTATAGGTATATAAAGCCCTTAACAGCTTGGGACCAGTTTACTTGCAGGATCTCCTTAGTTCCACTAGGGAGATTTGTCTGGCGCCTTCCTTGTCTATCTTTAGGTGCCAGGCCAAAACATTCCTCTTCAACCAGGCCCTTGGCTGATTATTATTCTACAGCCTTTTAAATGTGTTTGTGTGAGAGGGGTTCTTGTTTCGTTGTTTCTGTTTTAACTATTTATCTGTTCTTTTATCTCGTATTTTAACCTTGTGAACTGTCCTGAGATCTTTTGATGAAGGGCGGCATATAAATCTAATAAACATATAAATAAAATCTACTTCTCATTGTGTACCACTTGGATTTTTAAAAATGAAACTGAGATATAGATTTTTATAAAATGAATGTTTGGGGCTCACCTGATAATGTCTTGTCAAATGATCAGTAATGCCCTATGCCTTTCTACTGCCCACAATATCATGCGAAATGCACACTGAAAAGTCTTCTTGCATGAAAGGATTGTAAAAATATTAGCCATACCTTAGCAACTGGCCACTTTTAACTGTTGTTGAACTAATAACTTCTCAAAATGCATGTTAATGCACTTTGATGTTGCTCAATTAATATTAACGCACTTCTCAGATTTGGATCTTACTGTGTCCAATAGTTTTCTTGTCTTCTTGATCATGTCTTGCACTGTTTCAACCTGTTCTTTTTGTGGAAGTCAGAAGCATCCCACACAAGACTGGACTCTCTCGACCACATGTTCTCTTGAAAAGATCCATCAACTGGAACAATGGTAAGTGTGTTTATTTAACTATCTCTTTAAGAATGAGGGAGGGCAGGTACAATGCTTTGCTACTGTATATCTCCTGGAACATTGCAAGGTGTGGGAAGGGTTTGATGGGAGACCCTATATTGGAAAATTTTCAATGTCTAATGTTTTACAATTTTTTTATGTGTTGTAAGCCACCCAGAGTGGCTGGGGAAACCCAGCCAGATGGGTGGGGTATAAATATTATTATTATTATTATTATTATTATTATTATTATTAGATAATGTTTTAAGGGCATGCAATTTCCCAATACATATATGTCTATGCTGAGATCTGATTGTCATGCAACATTATTAGAAGTTGCATTTGTTGTACTCCTAAGAACAACTGGATAGCAAGAACAGGGGAGTGATTCAAAGGTTTAGAGAAGAGGTGTGTTGTACTGCCCTCCCAGGTGCGAGAATTTCATGTTTGAATGGTTTCATACACTCACACCCCCACTACCATCTTGCTAGGGTTTGGTAACTATATTACAGAAAGAAATAGCCTAGCAAGACAAAGAAAACATAAGTTTATTGCTCATGGCAAGCAAAGCTTTACATCTGGCCAAGATGGAGTGCAGAAATTACACTGGCACATGGCAACTTATACGGGGAATAACTAAATTGGAGAAGCAAGAAAGAAGGACACAGTGAGAAGATGTGATCTGCTTTGCCAACTATTAGTTACTTAAAGAGAAGGAATCAGTGAGGGAAGTATAGGTTGCCTTTCAGTCTTCCGCCACCAGCTGGTTCAGGTAGCTCATTGCAAGGACTGCTACTTCACTCACCAACACATCTAAACTCTGTAAACCAGTATTTTCCAAAGTGGGCAATACCACCACTGGGGGGCACTGGAATGACCCAGGGGGCAGTAGTAGCCTTGGAGGGGTGTTGAATTAAAAATAAGAGGGTAGTGGAAGCATAAAGAAGAGAAGAAATTTTTGAAAAACCGTTTGTACAAGTTTTATCTGTTGTGTAATGATGCTTACTGCCAAGTCAGGCGCCATTGCAGGGACGGCAACAATGCCTCCCCTGGAAATTGCAGTTGTACTGGAGGCAGAGGATTTTCGTGGGCTTGGGGGAACCCTATTTGGCTTCAGCCAGGGCCAGCAAGTGGATCACAGCTTGCCTGCCTATTTGGCCAATGGCAGGCAGACTGTAGTGCTGGGGGCCCCTGCGGTGGATTGGACTGAGCTGGAAGGTTTCACTTTGGTCCACCTCATGGGCTTTTAATCCCGGGGCCTGGTCCACCTCCTTGCAAAATTCGAAGAAGTGGGTGCCTGGGTTTTGGTTCCCATTGTTGCTTCAGACAGTGTGAAGTAAGTAGCGTCACCTTAAAATGAGAAATTATACTAATTTCTCCTCCATACCATGGTTCTGCTGGCTGAGGTTGATGGAAATTGTAGTCTCAAACATCTAGAGGGCACCAAGTTGGAGAGAGCTGGTGTAAGAGAGGTCGTGGGTGCATGGCTCATGGTGCTTTCCTTAATTTACAGTGATTCCAAACCGGCCCGCCTTCGCGAAGATTGTTGTTGAAGGTTCTATAGGCTTTGGTTTTGCCTTTGTGATCGCAATTGCTTTGTGGTGTATCCTCTCGTAAGTATGTCTATTTTTTAATAATAATTTTTAATTAGTTTTTTATGTGAAATTTGAAGTTATTCAATTCACTTTTGATATAATAATTTCTTACATTTTGACTTCCCATTCTGACGTCCGTGATGCTCCTGTTGCAGTCATTTATCTGCTGCCATAACTACCAATTATTTTCATAATATTCATTTATTCATTCTCCTCCCCTTGCCTATAATTCAAATCCTGCTTGCAATTTCATTTGAATATAATTTTTCCTTAAATAGTTCAAAAAAAAACCCCACGCTTTGACAAAATTCTCATCTTTTCAGTCTCTTATTTTTGCTGTCAATTTTGCCGTCTCTGCATAGCCCAGTAACTTTAAAATCTATTCTTCCTTTGTTGGAATTTCTCCTTCTTTCCACTTCTGCACATACAGGATTCTGGCTGTGGTAGCAGCATACATAAACAATTTAAACTTCTTTCTTTCTTTCTTTCTTTCTTCTTTCTTTCTTTCTTTCTTTCTTTCTTTCGCTTGATATTTGAGCATCGCCCTTGCATGTGGCAAGTCAAAGGTTCAGTCCCAGAATCTCTAGGTAGGACTGGGAATTATCGCTGTCTGAAACCCTAGAGAGCTGCTGCCAATCAGTGTAGACAGCACTGAGCTAGATGGACCAGTCTGACTCGGTATAAGGCAGATCCCTATATTATTGCTGGATAAATGTTCATTGCCCATAGTAGTAAATGGGTGTTGGCCAACAGTGCTTTCACATCTCTTTCTCTGAGGAGTGATGGCACACTTGCTGTTGGGAGGCGGGGTTTCAGATGCCTTCTTCCTTTGACGAACTTGCTTCCTCTTCCAGTGAATTGGTAGGTCGACTGAAGGGGGTTAACGCTCGTGGCAAGCGCCTTCTGGCACAAAATTTCTTTTTGAGGCAAGTCCAGGAGGAAAAAGAGGCAGCCAGGAAAAAACTAATGGAAGAAAAGGAATATGAAGGCTCAGCTAAGACAGGTAAGACTGTTGTCAATGATGCACCTGTAGACCTGAGGTGGAAAGACTTCAGTATTGTCAGATCTGCTTTGATTTTTACTAGAAACCTACCAACCGGTGCCAGGTGCAAAAGAGATAAGGGACTCTCCAGACAGGAATTTTATTGTGGCTATATTGTGCAACAATAATAGTGCATTGGGGTTCCTTTGAACACCTTTCTGTTCATGATGCTATCAGGGTGGTCCTATGCAATTCCACATTCCATACTGTTAGTGCCTTAAAACATGCACACAAAAAGCATTTCCACCTACAGAAGTTTTGGGGTAATCACACTGCTTCATTTCCAGTCAGTGTGTATCCCATAATTTCCTGCTGAAATCCTAATCTACCTCTTGAACTAATTTACAAAACTATTAACACATTTTTACAAGCATTGAATGCCACAACATAGCAAGATGATACAGAGAATGAGAGGGAAACTAATAACCCCCCTTTCAAGGCTTCCTTGATCCAACTAATCTGAGGAGACCAACGTCCAATATGAGATTCCTTTTAATCATTTATGGACATTTAAGAACTTTGAGAGAAGTCTTCTCCCTTGGTTTAAACATGATTGTTTATGCTTTACACTCAGCAGGAAGGTCTATTCATAAAGAAACATGAAGTTTTCTTGTTTCAGCTTTCTTTTGTGCCCGGCGTCAAATTAGTCTTCTGGACCCCATCTCTTTGTTATTCCACAATAACAATTCCCCTTTAATGAATCCCTGTGAAGGGCTTTCATTGATTATCAGCAATCTTCTGACTAGCACAGATGTTGACACGTCCTGAGAGAAATGTCTTCACCCCTTGCCATCCTCTGGCGAACCAGAGCAGCACACGGAAACGCTGTTTACCTTCCCGCTGGAGCGGTACCTATTTATCTACTTGCACTTTGGCGTGCTTTCAAACTGCTAGGTTTGCAGGAGCAGGGACCGAGCAATGGGAGCTCACCGCATCACGGGGATTCGAACAGCCGACCTTCTGATCGGCAAGTCCTAAGCTCTGTGGTTTTACCCACAGTGCCACCCGCGTCCCTACACTTTGGGTACACTTATCTAATCAAAAGGCTAAGCCCAAATTAGAATTTCCTATAGCCCCCAAGTTTCAGGTCCAGGAACCATCTGTTGAACAGTTCTAGTAGGGGCATTTGGCCAAATGAACTATTTTGATTCTACAAAGCAGTGATTCCTGCTTAATCGAAGCATGTATGTTTCTGTTTTACTGTTAACTTGTTTCACATGATGCTTCTCCTGAAACCATTGGATCAATAGGGAAGACTGGCACATGTGCCAACATTAACCACCACCCCTCACTCCACACATGCGAACTTTAAAACAAAAACACAACAGTCCATTCTTAAAAATCATTGTTGAATTCTCTGTTTATTTCACACTTCCAGCTTTCTCTGACACTAACATTCACTTGCTTATAGTTCCCTTTCGTTTCAGCAAAAGTCAACAGAAATCTAGGCACACACTACTGTACCCAATATACAAACAAACACTCCTGTACCCAATATACAGGCATGCACACACACACACAAAAATAACTAAGTTAAACCTTGCAAAAGAGCAAATTGTCCTCTCATATGGACCCTGAAATGACTAGAACCACACTTACTGAAATAATCAAACAAATGAAGAAAGCGAGTGCCTTTGAAGAAAGCTTACTCAGGAGTAAAAATTACCCATTGAAGGTTTTGCACAAAAACAGTAAAGGATGCCACAAAGGCAACTTAGAGGCAACAAAGCTTCAGAATTGAAACATGTGGCTCAGACATTGATGGGCTAGCCTAGACTTTTTTGTAAACAATAAAGCTACCAAATACATTTAAACCTTGCCCCCCTCTTCTCCAAAGCAGGTGACAAAATCAGTGTCACCTTTTAATAATTCTCTTAGCCAAATAAATCCAAGTCAGAACTCAACCTTAGATAGACAATGCCTGCACATGAAAGTTCTACATTCTGACAAAAAAAATTACTCACTTCTTCTAGTCATAATTCCTCCTAGTATTTCCCAAATAATTCTTATACGCTTTTAAGGAAATAAACTCAAATGAAAATCGGCTACTTTACACTCAATTTTAACTCTCAGTATGAAAATCACAGTGGAGCACTCTTCTACTGTCTCCTGAGACAGATGGATGTCAACAACAACATTGAACTCTGCAGGTTACTGCTGCAGCTTGGAATATGAGTGCATGTTTGCCCAGCTGACCTATTGTAGCAAGAAAATTAAGCTTTATCAGGAAATTAACCTTTAAACACATGAATAAAAAGAACCAAGGTTGGATGCTGGTTTCTTTCTTTAGACTTGATGTTGCTGTTCAGGATGAGGACCCATTTACGGTATGCATGATGTCTAATCCATGATCTATAGCTGGCAACTTAGAATGTGTTCCAATGCGTGGGTTTTAATTACAAGGGCAGCATTTAGTTATCATAACTAAAACACTGTCCTTCTGCTTTGTGTGACTGCTTTGTGACTAGACAAAATTTCAGTTATGGAGGAACCTCTCCCTTTCATAAAACCTCAAACCCTTGTTGTTGCTGTGGTAAGAATTCACCTCTACACCACCTCTGTTCCTTAACCAGGTAGGGACCACCTTTTAAATAAACCACAGAACAAAATAAACTATTTTGACTCCAGCATCCAGATTTAGGGGCCCAGTGTTTTATTTATTTTTATTTTATATGATATAAGAATTAGAGACCCCAGGTATAGATTTAAAAAATGTTTCAGTGTCTCACTTTAATTGCATTTAACCTTTTAGAATGTATTAGGCTTTATTTTTGTGAGTTCTGCATTTGTGCAGAACTCCCTCCTATTCTGCATTGCATCTCTCCTTATCTGACCCTGAAAGTGGTACAAATGGCAGGATGTTTTCCTATTAGTTAGAACCTGGGCGTTAAGCAGAAATCCTTGGAAGTTCCCTGAATGATAGATGGTAGGAATATCAGTAAAGGCTGATCATAGACTAGATTGCCAAGGCAAAGTGGGGCATCCAATACCTAAAATGGGCAAAAGGCCTAGGCACTTCTGGTCAACTCCAAGGTGATGGTGTGGGAAGTGGAAAGACACCATGCCTGTTTTCTGTCCCATTACCTGTAACCTTTCCTGACATATGTGAAGATGTTTTATGACTCTTTGTTTGTTGTGTCTGAACTACTCTATAAGCTTTTGTTCTGAAGTGCCTTGGGGCAGACCTTCTCAATAGGCATGTTGGGTTGAGCTCTGTCCTTTCATAATAGATAAATAATATAAATAAAAAGGCCGGGTCCCTAAATCTGGATGCTGGAGCTGAAACAGTTTCTTGGTTCTGTGGTTTATTTAAAAAGTGGTCCCTCACCTGGGTAACGAACAGAGGGGGTGTAGAGGTGAATTTTTACCACATTGCTCCCATGTGCTCTAATATTATACCGTATTTTTCGCCCTATAGGACGCACTGGCCCATAGGACACATCTAGTTTTTTTTGGGGGGGGGGAATCAAGGGAAACATTTTTATTTTCCCCCCCCCAGGTTTGCGCAGCCATCCCCAAGCTAGAAGAGGGAGACGGAGCGCTCTGTCTCCCTCTTCTGCCTTCAGGGACAGCCTCCCTAGCCTCTGTGGGGCAGCGGCTTGCCCCGCTGTCCCCCAAGTTTGTGGGGCTGGCGGGGGGAGAAGCAAGCTTGCTTCTCCCCCCCCCCCCGCCCCACCAGCCTCCAGACAAGGTCGAGGAATAGCGGGGTGACGGCGCTGCGCCTCCCCGCTGTCCCCCGAGCTTTTGGGCTGCAGGCTGCTGCCCGCAAGCCTTGCGAGCCCGTGGGACCTCCCGCCGGTCTAGCAAGACTTGCGGATAGCTTCCTGAAGCCTGGAGAGCGAGAGGGGTCGGTGCACACTGACCCCTCCCGCTCTCCAGGCTTCAGCGAAAGCCTGCATTCGCCCCATAGGATGCACACACATTTCCCCTTCATTTTTGGAGGGGGAAAAGTGCGTCCTATAGGGCAAAAAATACGGTATATGCTTGCTAGCAACAAAAACAACAACGTACCACCTTCTTGGATAAAACTTCACTGGCGAAATTTAAAGATTAAAATAATGCGCATCAATGCAACAGGAAAGCAAAATCTGTCTTCCAAGCTAATCTCCCTTAGACAGGGTTAGTAATGTTCTGTCTATCTGTGTAACATGGGATCGTGTACTCTGTGTGATCTGACAAGGAATGGCATGCTTCTTTCCATTTACAGATTTCAGCCCCATCTACACTATACAGTGGTACCTCGGGTTAAGTACTTAATTTGTTCTGGAGGTCCGTTCTTAACCTGAAACTGTTCTTAACCTGAAGCACCACTTTAGCTAATGGGGCTTCCCGCTGCCGCCGCACCGCTGGAGCACAATTTCTGTTCTCATCCTGAAGCACAGTTCTTAACCCGAGGTACTATTTCTGGGTTAGCGGAGTCTGTAACTTGAAGCGTCTGTGACCCGAGGTACCAATGTATGAGCTAAGAAGTATGAATTGTTGGGAAAGGATCTAGAAGACAACCCTGTATTGGGGAGCCTTTAATGTTTTGCTATGTTTTGCTGTGTTCTGTTATATTTTGCCGGAAGCCACACAGATGCCTGGGGCAAACCAGTCAGATGGGTAGGGTACAAGTTATGTTTATTATTATTATTATTATTATTATTATTATAGAAACAAGGAAAAAGAAAATAATGGAAGAGGAGGAGGAGGAGGAGGAGGAAGGAGGATATTCTGTCCCAGAAGGAAAAGCAAAGAAAAAGAAGAAAGGGAAAAGGCATGCAATAAAGAAGAAACTAGGTAAAATTAAGAAGGTTGCAAAATCAGAAGCTGTGCAAAAGCACATTGGTAAAATTAAGAAGGTTGCAAAATCGAAAGCTGTTCAGAAGCATATTGGTAAGATCAAGAAGGCCGCAAAATCGAAGGCTGTTCAGAAGCATGTTAGTAAGATTAAGAAGGCAGCGAACTCCAAGGCTGTTAAGAAGCACATTGGTAAGATTAAGAAGGCTGCAAAGTCAAAGGCTGTTCAGAAGCATGTTCGTAAGATTAAGAAGGCAGCGAACTCCAAGGCTGTTAAGAAGCACATTGGGAAGATTAAGAAGGCCGCAAAGTCCAAGAATGTTCAGAAACACATTGGGAAGGTCAAGAAGGCAGTGGCATCAAAGGTAAAGAATAAGAAAGAGGAAAAAGTAAGAAGGAGAAGAGCTCTAAAAAGAAGAAGGAAGGTGAGACAAAAAGTAAAAAAAGTTCACATAAAAAAGTGAAACATAGGAAAAGTGAAGAGGATTCTGAAGACTCTGACTAGCAAGCACAAAGACTGGAACCAGGTGGTCAATGGGGATGGGTCAAGAGCAGGCGGAGTACAGCATCATCCCAAAAGGAAAGTGAAGAGGGCAGGGGCACAGGTGGCCTCACATCAGGGGTAGCCAAAGTAGTGCCCTTCAGATGCTGCTGGACTACAGCTCCCATTATCCCTGGCACCATTGGCCAAGACAGCTGGGGATGATGGGAGCTGGAGTCCAAGAACATCTGGAGGGACACCACATTGGCTACCCCGCTTGTATTATTAGCCTGGTCTTGATGACAATGGAGGGACTTCCTCTCTGAGCACTTCTTCTCATGGCAGAGAACCTTGTACTGTCACCTACAGATGAAATACAAAAGATTGAAATTCACATCTGAAGAAAAGTGTACAAGGAGTATGATTTCCCTGCAGTAATGAGTGAGAGCAGTCTTCCAGGAGACTTAACCATTGTTTAAAGCAGTGGTTCCCAACCTTTCTTTGCCCATGCCCCACCTAATCATCTCTAAAATCCTGGTGCCCACCCCCACCCCCTGTGACATATAATTCTTATTACAGTGGTACCTCGGGTTAAATACTTAATTCATTCCAGAGGTCCGTTCTTAACCTGAAACTGTTCTTAACCTGAAGCACCACTTTAGCTAATGGCGCCTCCTGCTGCTGCCGTGCGATTTCTGTTCTCATCCTGAAGCAAAGATCTTAACCTGAGGTAATATTTCTGGGTTAGCGGAGTCTGTAACCTGAAGCGTATGTAACCCAAGGTACCACTGTATTCAAAAAGTGAATTCCTATTCACGTGGAGGAAGCCCAAAAGGCCATTCACTGTTAATACCATATTTTTTGCTCTATAAGACTCACTTTTTCCCTCCTAAAAAGTAAGGGGAAATGTGTGTGCATCTTATGGAGCGAATGCAGGCTGCGCAGCTATCCCAGAAGCCAGAACAGCAAGAGGGATTGCTGCTTTCACAGCGCAGCGATCCCTCTTGCTGTTCTGGCTTCTGAGATTCAGAATATATTTTTTCTTCTTTTCCTCCTTTAAAAACTAGGTGCGTCTTGTGGTCTGGTGCGTCTTATAGAGCGAAAAATACGGCAGCTCATTCTCAAATCCCCCCCCCTTAAAAATCAAATTGCCCCCCTGTGGGGCACATGCCCCACCTTGGGAACCATGGGTTTAAAGGCTTGGCACTGTCCCTTCCAACTTTTTTAGTTCTTTATTCTAAATATATAGAGTTGTATCCCATGCTAGACCTACTCAGAGTAAACCCATTGAAATTAATGGACATGGCTAACAAGTCCATTATTTTATTTACTCTGAGTAAAACTTTGTTGGATGCAGTCCAGAATATCAGTCAGTAACATGCTATAAAATGTGTGTCAAATGCAGGTATTCCACAGTTACCCAGTGACAACAGCTGGTGGGCATCATTTTGGCAAAATGGCCTCAAGGGCAAATTCTGACCCCCTGGTTGAGCAATGACTGGCCCATGAGCTGGAGTGCCTAGCTACTGAGAAATTGAGCAAGCTTAAGAAAAAAGTGGGATGCAGGAGGCGCTGTGGGTTAAACCACAGAGCCTAGGGCTTGCCTACTGGAAGGCTGGCAGTTCGAATCCCCAAGACGGGGTGAGTTCCCGTTGCTCGGTCCCTGCTCCTGCCAACCTAGCAGTTCAAAAGCACATCAAAGTGCAAGTAGATAAATAGGTACCGCTCCAGCGGGAAGGTAAACGGCGTTTCCGTGCGCTGCCCTGGTTTGCTAGAAGCGGCTCCCTCGGCCAGTAAAGTGAGATGAGCGCCACAACCCCAGAGTCGTCCGTGACTGGACCTAATGGTCAGGGGTCCCTTTACCCTTTATCTTTACCGAAGAAAAAAGTGCTGTAGCATCCACCTGGTAAAAGCTGCTGCTGCTGCTGCTGCTGCTGCTGCTGCTGCTGCTGCTGCTGCTGCTGCTGGTGACTAATGTTATTTTTACTAGTAGTCTGCATTTCCATGCTACTAGCCTGCTAGCAAGCTCATAAGTAATTGTGTAAACTAGTAACTGGTGTGGGCTATTTTACAAAGCCAGTCTCCCAGATGCAGTACACAGCAGAGAAAAGTGGTTGCCTTTGTGCCCTCAAGATGGGCTTATTGGAAGCATCCCAATTGTCACTATAGGAAGCAATAGAAATGGAAGAGCAATGGAGGCTGGTCCATTAGAATGAATGGGGCCCTTCCCCACTAATCTTAGTCTGTCGTCTCAGCATATTGCTGCCTGCCTGCCTGCCTCCCTGCTAGCAAAAAAGACCAGGAGGTGGCCCTAGTGGTCTGCTTCCCTCCCTCTTAGTCTCAAGATTCTGCTTGAAGTAGAACCCAGCGGGAAGGGAAATGGTGGCAAAGAATTAAGCCACATTCACACCATACATTTAAAGAACTCTGATACTACTTTAAACCAAAAAATCCTGGGAAATGTAGTTTGTTAAGGCTAATTAAAGTTGCTAGGAGATCCCTATTTCCCTCAAAGAGCTGCAGTTCTCAAGAGTGGATTAAATAATCAGTCCCTCTTCCCCAGGGACTCTGGGAATAGTAGCTCTACAAGAGGAATGTTGGGTCTCCTTACAACTTCTGAGATCATCCTCTGAAGAAATTTGCAGCTGCTGATGACAAGGTGTGAATTCCCCCTCACCTGCTCCCCACATTACATTTAAAGAGGTAGCAGCAATTTTTTTTCTTTAAAAACTATCTCAAACCTGTCCTAAATTATATTTCCTAAGTCATACCTGGGTTTTGCCATTAGGGGGAACCAACAACACATCCCAAACCTCATATCAAGGTTTTTCAGTCTTAAAAATAAATAAATTCCGTGGTCTGAACATTCTCTCTTACACCCAGCTCTCCCCACCCCCACCCCCCACCCCAATCATCATTATTTGTAGTAGCAGTATTAAACAGAAACTTGCAGTGCCGAAGCCTTGTTTGGAATATTTTGGAAAACATTTGTTAAAACACTGTCCAAATGGTTTGGATTTCTTTGAAATTATATTGGACAGAATCACTTAATGTGTTCAACTGGGGGGGGGGTCGCTGTCGTGTTATATACATATATATATATAGTGTGTGTGTGTGTGTGTGTGAGAGAGAGAGAGAGAGAGAGAGAGAGAGAGAGAAATACAACATCTTCCATTGCAATTATCTCTCCATAGCTGTTTTAGGGCTCCCCCTGAAGCCCAGAGATAGCTGCCTCCCCCCACAAAAAAAACCATATTGTGATCTAGCAGTTGGGTAGCCAGGTGTCCTAATTTACAAGTAGCAGACCTCTATTTTAATGAGAGTCCTAAGAACACAAGAAGATTAGGTCAATGACTCATCTATCTAGCCCAGCATCCTTTTCTCACAGTGGACAACTGGAAAGGCCCATGAGAAACCCACACACAGGACCTGAGTGCAACAGCAGTCTCCCCACTTGTGATTCCCAGTGACTGGTGTTTAGAGGCATGCTGGCTCCCAACAGTGGAGGGAGGATATAGCCATAATAGCTAATTGTCACAGATATCCTGCATTAATTTGACTAATCCCAGGTTCAATCCCTGCCATCTCTAGGTTGAGCTGAGGAAGATTCCTGACTTTCTAAACCCAAGACAGCTGCTACCAGTCAGTGTTCACAAGAGGCACCCAACAAGTTAACCCTCCAGAGGTTGTTAAACCACAACTCCCATTGGCCCTAGCTAGAATAGCCAAAAGTCAGGGGTGACAGGATTTGTAGTTCAATGTCAACTGTGAGATGCCATGTTGGCTTGCTCTGTAAACTATACAAAGTGCGATGGACCAGTGGGAACAGTGCAGTTTGAACTTAATGGTCTTGTGCATGCAAGGGACAGGCTCTTGGCACAGTGGTCCAACCTGGAATAAGGAAGCTTCTAGTGAATGTGATAGCTGCAGCTTTAGAGGTGTGGGTTTAGCCAGAGACGCAGGAAAATGCCTTATACCACTGGAGTCTAGCTCATACTGGCTATGTGGCCCTCCAGGTATTCAGACAGTGGACATTCCCCAAACTACCTGGTGTTGCCATTGGGAACTGAACATTGAACCTTCTTGCATGCAGAGCAGATGCTCTGCCACCCAACCAAAGGCCTGCCCCAGATCTACACAGCTGCTAAAGCCCAATGAAATGTGCAGCTCATTGACATCAAAGGGCTTTAGCATCCTTAACACCATGTTGGAATCTGTGGCCCTTGCATAGAATGTATCTCACTGGCACCAGTTTCAGTTGAAAAAGGCATAATGTCACAAATGTCCACATAAATCCACGATAAAATATTTCAGGCAGCTGTGTTTTGCAGAGAAGGAGATTTTTTTTAACAAAGCTATGCTTCCCTGATTCAGTGGTGTTCAGTGGAAGAAGCTACTGGGAAATGTAATTGATAATTTTTAAGTAAATGTAGCCTGAGCACAGAATGCAGATGGTAAACCTGCCATGCTGCTGACCTCAAGTTATGATTAAAATAGGAAACAAACAGGAGGCACCGAACTTTGTAATAATTATTTTCTCAACCACTGTTGTTTGCTCCATAATGCAGGTCGGTGGGTCAGCCCGGAGATTCTTCCTAATATATTAGTAAATAAATTTGAACAGATTTTAATTTGCTAATGGAAAGGGCTGCGACAGTTGCTCGTATGCAGCGAGCTACTTTGTCTAACTCATCAGCATGCATCACAGCCACTCGGAGCCATTCACAGAAAATGTTACATTTCCATAAACTGTAGTGCAATTTGTCAGGAGGGAGGGAGGAAAAAAACATCCTCTGCAAACTCTGTGAGATTAAAGATAAACGCATATCATGCAGCCATCATTCTTCAAGAGAGTCTTTAAGATAACTGAATGCCAAACACCTGCTTCAGAAGTCTTGCCAAGTAATCTGGTTCCTGCATCAATATCCAAGGTGCAAAAAAGAAAAGGAAAAGAAAGAAGGTAGGCTATTCCAGTTGGAACAGTGGACATGTTAAGATATGAAACTGCAATGGGTCTTCTGCCGGTTTCAAAGAACTTACCACCCATCTAGTGTGGTTTTGCTAGGTCATATAGATTTGTAAAGTAAGAAGGCACCATCTTGTCCAGGCAGCAG